GCGAACTCCAGGTTCAGTGAGAGACTCTGTCCCAAAATATAAGGTAGAGGGCAATAAAGAAAAATAGCTAAAGTCAACCTCCAGCTTCTCCACATGCTCCATGCATGACCAGGCAGACACACACACACACAGAGGCACGCACGCATGCACGCACACACGTGTGCACACACACATGCATAAGCACACACACATGCACACATATGCCATGCACACACATCTTTGCGACTTCGTTTTGAATGTCCCACTTTAATAGGCAGTGGGGGAAACCTACATGCAACTGCTCTGCTCTTTTCTTCATCACCTATGTAAGACATGGCATTCACATGTTTGAAAGCTCTGTCTCCGTTATAAATTTACAAGCCCACTTTCTCTTGCTTTCTCGGTTTTTCAAGATCAGGCCTCATGTAATCCCCATGTCTGGGTCTCTCTTTTATAACTGAACAAACTTATAAACACATCTTGAAGGCAAAAAATGAAAAATACACTTAGAAATTATTAATTATATAATGTTTACATTAAATTTCATATATGATTCACATAGAGCCACATCTATAAGAAACCTTATTGAATAAAAGGATATTTTATGCATTTTGCCACTCCATCAATTAACATTAATACTTTGTTCTATGTAACTTCCTATACTCTGATGAGCTCGTACTACAATGTACTTTTCTCAAAATTATATATTTCTTGTGTAAGAAAAGTGCTCAGAAGAGATTTCAATTTAATGATACCAAATACTTAAGTATTTATGGAATAAAAACAGCCAGTAATGCATCACAATTGCTTTAAATTTCCAAGTGAGTTTTTTGCTTTACACTACTTGTTTAAGTTATTTTTAGTTGTACCGCAAGCTCTGAAGGAAATGTACCTACCTGAAAAAATCAGAATAACCAAGCTTCATCTGAACACCTAGAGAGAACACTACTGTAGTTCGGTGCCCCTCCCTTATTAATGCATAAAAATCTAAAAGACTGGGTCATCTTTACATCTGGGCTTCGATAATCTTTTTATACACTGAGCTAAAGCAGGGGAATAAACAATGCTTGTACTCAAAAAGATTTTTGCTGTTAAATATATGGTAGATACTTCAAATAAATACATGACTTATTTTATAATATTGCTATAAACCCCAAAATTTTCCCAACAGACTCACAAACAAAAGCAAGATCTTTTTATAGATTTTCTCATTCCATCGTTCTGCATTCGACATTTCTATGTGAACAGAACATGTCTGCCAAAAACACACTCAGAATTCCGCTGTTAACAGATACCAGTAAAAATAAAACTTTTGAAAGCACATAAAGCGAAGAAACAGCATGTTCTACAGGCTGGGAGTCTGGGAAGATCTCAAACGATTTTCATTAGTCCTTGGCCCTGGCATCGTTGCCCTTCGGTGTCTCAGATCCCAGATGAACAGGGCAGTTCTCATTGCTGGGGCTGACGAGCAACCATTTGTGTGGTTTGATTTCGTTTGTGACTTTCTCAATGGTACTTCCAATGGAAAATCCCCAGAAAAATAACTTGCCCATTTTTGAACTCTGAAAGAGGGTCAAAGGTTGTTGCTTCCAAACAACACAAACCTATAAGAATCCTTCCAGTTCTCATTGACTGTTCACTTCTAGGAACAACAAAGGGAAAAGTTTGACTGCAATAAAATGGGGAGGGGCGGGTGAAATGTATAAAATGGACGGGGAGGTGATCTCACTGCAAAAGCTTATGCTTAAACTCCATGGCAATGACATTCAAAGAAGAAATAGTTCTCTGGCTGCAGCGCCTTAGGGGAAACAGTTTTCTTAGTATCAGAGGCTAAAGTTGATTCATCACATGGCATAGAGAAAGCTTACAAAATAATAGGAATTTGATAATATGGGAATGCTTTCAGCAATTACTTTGTTGAAGTTACGCCATGGTCTTTTGCGTGATTGTGTTAAATTCTGTAATATTAAAATATAGATTTATGACTCTCAATAAAGTGATAAATGAGGAATGGATAAAAGTGTCAGGTATCATCAGATGCCAGGAAAAAAAATGGAGTCTGTGATGTTTATCTGCATTATTTCTCTAGAACAAAAGAGCTACCCTTTCCCTGCATAAGGATGGGTTCTAAGGGCACTGCGGGAACCACGACGTGTGCTCAAGGAGCAACATTTGCTAATACTCAGGGCTGAGCAGTGCTGTTGGTCCCACAGATACACACACTGTTCACGAACAAGATAATATAAACTCGCGCTTTGATCATGAAAGGAGTTTTGCTTTTGCTCTGCGCCTCACATAGCATGGAGATGCATGTAAGTGTGTAAACTCATTGCAATGAAGTCCTTTATAAAGAGGGTTTGATAGCTTTGCTATGTGAAATTCTTTGAGAATTCTCTTTGTATGAAACCTGTACATTCTTAAAAACAGGATCTAAATTATGTTATATTCTTCTTAATCCAGCCATAGGATGTCAGTATGCACCATACATTACTCCAAAACATACCTATTTTTTCCATCTAATGAATTGTTTTTAGTTTCTTAAATTTATGGTAATTATGCTGATGCAAAAATGAGTTTTATTCAGCTTCAAAATGAATTTAAAAGCATTTTTCTATTTTCTCTTTAAGATGAATTAAATGCCATAGTAAATTGTCCCTAATACCTGCCCCTCCCAGTTACTATTTTCCCCTGTAAGGTACTGCCGCTTGAGGGCCTTGCTCACTTAGGTATATACAAGATCATGTCTCTCGGGAACTCAAAGTCTACCAGAGAACTTCAGGTGAGCTGAGTTAGAGCCTGAGTTTTACAGGAGAAACCATTCTACATAAAGAAACATGGAATTTCAGACTAAACTTTCCAAACCTTACCTGTCTTGCTAAAACTTTAAATGAGCTATTTATAAGTAGTTAAGGTATTGCGCTCACAAAAGTTTATGTGGTCTCAGGAGCACATCTGAAACAGATTTTCTTATCAAGTATACTGATGACCAGAGGCAAACCTTTTGAGAGGTGGAGAAACAGGCAGAAACACGCTGAGAAAGAGAGGTCTGGAGGAGATTGCTAAGAAGAAAAGTCAGGTCTGAAAACAGATATTCCAATGAGAGACTGGATAGCTGGAGGATGGCCAAGGGGACAAGGTACCAAAAGAAGGTGCATGGGAAAAGGGCAAAACAGCAAAGACTGGAGTTTGTCCTGATTGCCAGCTTGCCCAAAACTGAAACAACTATCAGGGAGGAAGTCAGTACCCAACTGCACTTTCTCTGAGGATTATGGCTAATTATATGAACCCTGTATGATAAGCTCCCGTCTCTCATCTCCACCACGCGTGGCAGAAGCAACGACAGGGCCTGCATGCCAGTTGATCAGTAAGTCTCATCCTGCATCTGACCTTGACCCATTTCCTATACTTGCTTTAAACAGCTGCTGGGTGAAAGTATGGCCTCTTCATGGCAATCAGGGGGATTCACTTAGATCACCATGAACACCAAGCAAGTATCTAAATTCACCATGTTCTATACTAATTATTGGGCAAAACCGATCTTACCTTTCACAAAAAGCCAGTTCTCTGTATCTAAATAATGTAAGTCTAGGGAGATGATGCCCCTTATTAAGAGTGCTGGAGCATAGAACTTAAGAGGAGTGAAGAGGATTCTGCATAAACCCATCTGCTTCCATCTCCAAATACATGGACGAGATGGCCAGGTGGGTCAACCTCTGTCCAACACACCTCGCGATCTCAATGACAAGCAGACCCCTCTTTGAGCACTTCCTGGAACAACCATGAACATGCAAGAAAAATAGAGATTAATCGTGTAGGGTTGGAAGACCCCTGAGGTGAATACCCATTAGGGCGATAATTTTGGATTTTTGCATAGTTATAGCTGTTGTTTACAATATTTACAGCCGCGTGCTTAAGTAGATGTCACTTATGCTTAAGTCCTTATGCGTGGATTTGAGTATAATTTGCTTTCGAAATATTCTCAATAGATTTATATTAGAACTGTGTTAAGTATTACCAAGGTATAATATTTCTATTCATGAAACTGCAATAATATTTACTTAGTGTATAAAATGACCACATTTTATGTAATTCCACTCTTTAAGATCCACCCACATTCAGCATCATGCAATAACAGGAGTCTGCTCCGTAGATTTCCGTTATTCTAAATTTAACCCAGAGATCAAGAACCAGTGGTTACCACTTGAGATTAACATCTAGTATCGCTACCTTTTACTATTTTTGCATGCCTACAGTATTTTGGGGGAAGATAATAGAAAGTTGATATTAAACTCCTTTGTTTTAAGTAAGTTCCAATTTACTTAAAAATTATTCATTTTCAATACTAAATTCTCAAGTACATAACAAATAATTAAACAATCAAGCTTAAAAAGTTAGAAATCAGTGACCCCCATGGAGAAAGAGCATTCCCCCTTACATACACCAAATAAATCACATTATCAGAATCCATCCTACTACGTCCGTAATTTTCTGGTCAATCGTACAGCCCTACTCTTTGCCTTATTCCTTCCCTAACTGCTCACCTAATATTCCCAGAGGAGGTAGAAAATGTCCACTCCAACACAGTAGCTATCAAGTTCATATTTATCTCAGAGAACAGTACTTCAGGAAGACGCAGCATTTGTAGCACAGAAACCCTGCCCTCGAGTGTGAACAGCGCAGAGAACCGAGCGCAGTATTCTTCAGTCAGAAGAGTGTGCGGCAGCACCCAGCCATGGGGCGAGATCACACAAGGTTTCCAAAGTTTTCCCAGCGCTGTGCCACTCATGTGCCTGAATAGCTAAGATGTTTTTGAAACTTATTTAGAGGAGCTGATAAGGGCTCTGTCCCGAGCTTCAGAAAAGAGAAAATAAAAGGGTTTCTTCAGTTTGCACGAAGTTAAACGTGGAGCTCTCTGTGTGGCGCTGCTGTAGTTTAAAGACACATTCCTCGGATGGAAGATGAGGGAGAGAAACCAGTGTGGCTGACAGCCCCAGAGACACCTGGGATGCAGCAAGACTTACCTAAAGATGGGTCTTTGGAGATGTTTCTTCCTGATTGTGACATACTCATCCATTTAAAGATGAAGTTTTAACTTCTTCCTGGAAAGCAGTCCAGAAAAATCCAGGGCGGGAATGTGGAGGCTTATCCTGAGCTATTGTGCTGCAAGTAGCCCAGAGGGGAAAAGTAGTTTCCTCTTTCTCTTTTTGGGTGCTGGGAGAAAACTTCCCTGTTCTCTGCCAGCCGGGCAGTGTGTCCATAGAGGCCACATAAGACAGGCACGTTGGGGCACTCCCCCACAGGGCAGGGTGTGCAAAACCCACCAAGAGTCACGTTGGTACAGGCGGGAGAAGCACACGGGACCCTCGGAAACAGGACAAAACAAACAGAAACCTTCCTACCCCAAGCGACACCCAGGTAGGAGCTCCCCCTAAGTTATTGCAGCCATGAGAGCTCTCCTTCCACATGCCGGTCAAGCCGGCAAGGCTAAGTCCCTCCCTGTCTTTAAAACAGCCTGTTCTGAGGCTCAACTTTTTTTCTTCAAAATAAAAGTTGTACAGCTGGCTGAGCAGTCCCAAGTGAGTGCCCCCTGCAAGTCAGTCCTGTTAAAATAAGAACTGTATATGAATTACTGGAGAAAGATGGGCTGGAGTTGCACAGCTGGCTTTGCTTCAAGAGATTATAATTATTTTACAGTCTTGCTTTAATTCACGCTGGACGAAGTGTGGGGACGACTCATCTTTTGGGGCATGATTAACCTAATAACCCACACTCAGCCGAGACTAGAGATGCCATTCCAGCTGATAGAAGTCCCAGTGTGTTGGCCAGAGTCCAGAAGCTAGCAAAACAAGCATTGCTCAAGCCTGTTAGGGAAAAAGTACCCAGATGCTTCTGCGCTCAAATGCAGCTTTTCCAACTAGGAAAACTCTGAAACACTACCAAAATGAAAACAAAACACAAACACATACAAGTACACACAGATAAATAAATGCTGGATAAATAAATAAACCCAAACAGTCTAGGTATATAAGATCTTATAGCATGTCAAATTTTAATTCTATAACAATAAAAGGGAAGCCAAGCAATGCAAAAGAGAACTGTGAGCAAATCTGTGAACATAAGAGAGTGCAAATTCTAGTTTTTCAAGGTAAGTTATTTTGAACACTTTCCTGAATTGTTATTTAAGCTCCTGATGGACCAGGGCAGAGTCCTTAAATTACAGGCCAGAGGTTACGTATGTAATTAAATAAGCCATCTCGGGGCGTGATTAAAACAGTATAAAATGCATACCATAAAGGGAAAGTGAGGAGTAGACAAGGCTTTGATCGAATGATCCATAAAAAGCCAGATCAAAAGACTCAAAGGTAGAGAACTGTCTGTAGTCATGTGTAGACAGTTAAGATACATAAGACTACCTTTTTCTTTTCTTCACCAAAGGGACAGAAGAATTATAAGAACCACTGATTTTATCCAGAAGTTCTAAACCATACCAGGAAGTGCAAATCAGGCTGAGAAAGCATTGAACCAAAAGTAATAAATGTGTACAAGTTCAGCTTTGGTCTTGCAGTGGATATGGGGCAAACTTCTTGCCTGTCTGGACTCCAATGCTTGTAAAATACAGCTTTAAGAGTAAATGAATTATGTAGCCCCTTTTGAGGTTGCATGCTTAATTTTCTTCTTGCAAATAAACCTTTAGGGAAATTATGATGCCTATGTAAGTTCTACATAAAAAGATAACTTGATATTACGTAGCATATGAATGTGAATATATTTATAGAGAGACATCTTAATTAATGTGTCCATCATTAGTAACAACAGATGATCATGAACTTACATGACTTTTTACACAGCAATAAGCTAGGTAGCAGGCCATGCCAACAAACAAACCCAGCAGCAGACCTGTTCAACACACGTGTGCTCTATTATAACCATGTGTGTTGGCTTTTGTTATCATATAGGAAAGTACCTAAACATTTATATATTTCATGGCATTCTGTCTTTCTTGTAATGGTTTACATCTATTACTATTAATATGATGCAAAGATTCCACAAAAGAAATAATCTAATAAAATAAACAAACAATAAATTTCAAGACCTAATTCCATCTACCTTTCAAAAGAAAAGTGTTGCATGAATCTTGTGAGTTTGCTCAGCAGTTGAGAGCACTTACTGCTCTGCTAGGGACTTGAGTTTGTTTACCGGTATCCACACCACTGGAATTCCAGTTCCTGGGAACCTAATGCCCTAGCATGACCTCCTTCAGCACATACATGTATGCACCCATGCAATGCCTGCATGGCCCCCACACATACAAATAGAAAAGGAACCTTTTAAAATAATATGAGATAATATTTTTATGACCATAAAAACTCTCAACACAATACCAATTAACATTTATTCATGTTCCTCCCAAAACCAACATATTGTTTATTTCAAACTCAAGACTCCACTATCGACTGAAGAACTTAAAGGTTGTTCACAGGAAAGTCATTACAATTTCCCTGTGCTCAATTTATATTCTTTGTCCATTTAAGTGATTAAAGGAGACAGGAGAGATTCACATTTATGTTAAGCACAATATTTAAGCCCCATCTTCATCCAAAATTACAATGAGAATGTGTCTATAAGCTAAAACATTTTCTTAAAATAAAGGAAAAATAATTTTTGTTTATACAGTTTGTGTGTGTGTGTTTATACATATTCATGGCAAAGAACTTGTATGGAAGTCAGAAAACATTTTACAGTAACTGCTTCTCTCTACCCACCAGTGTGTGTCCTGGGGCTTGAACTCAGGTCCTCAAGGGTAGCTAGCAAGCATCTCTACCAGCTAAATCATCTCATTGGCCCCAAAGGATACTTTTTTTTTTTTTACAAATGTTTTCATTTATTTTCTTAAAGGACATTTAAATTTGATTTGTGGAAGAGGAGTTGCCTTTCTAGCATTCAACCTTAACGTAACATTCCGTGGGATGAGACGTTATCACCTTTAGGTAAATTACAAAAGTATACCACTTTATGAACACAACCATCTACACCAAATACTAAAAGCCATGGAGCAAATAACCAGGCCAAATCTCTTACAATATAGACTTAAGTATAATTTATTGAGATTTTTATTAGAACTGAGGTCAAAAATAAAGTTTGTTTTTCCTAATGTTGTAAAGTAAATGCAGCCTGTTTGACCTAATATTTTCATTTATTTATTTAATATTTTACTTTTTTAAAAAAATAAACTATCTCTTCTCATTATACATACCCAGTCCAGGTTCCCACTCTTTCCCTTCCTTCCATCCCCTCCATCTTTCTCCCCACCCACCCCCATCCAATCCTCAGAGAGCGTAATGCACTTTACTCTGGGGAAGGTCCAAGGCCCTCCCTACTGTATCTAGGCTTACCAAGGTATTCATCCAAAGAGAATATGTTCCAAAAAGCCAGTACAAGTAGAAATAAATCCTGGTGCCACTGGCCCCTCAGTCTGCCCCAGCCATGCAACTGTCAACCACATTCAGAGACACTAGTTTGATCCTATGCTTGTTCCTTCCCAGTACAGCTGGAGTTGGTGAGCTCCCATTAGCTCAGGTAGACTGTTTCAGTGGGTGAACCCATCATGGTCTTGACCTCTTTGCTCATATTCTCATTCCTCCCACTCTTCAGCTGGGCTTTGGGAACTCAGTCCAGTGCTCCGATGAGGGTCTCTGCCTCTGTTTCCATCAGATGCTGGATGAAGGTTCTATGGTGACATTTAAGATATTCATCAGTCTGACTACAGGGCAAGGTCAGTTCAGACACCCTCTCGTCTATTGCTTAGGGTCTTTGCTGGGGTCATCCTTGTGGATTTCTGGGAATTTCTCTAGAGCTAAGTTTCTTGCTAGCCCCATAATGGCTCCCTCAATCAAGATATCTCTTTCCTCATTCTCATCTCTGTCCTTCACTCAGCTAAAACATCAAAATATCTTTCTTTACTAATTCATTGTATGTAGCCAATCACATGGCTCCACCCCTGTGATGTTTCCATCCAGAAGCACCCTGAGAGAATCATGGTGCTTTCTTTTAATCACCAAGAAAATCAGGTAAGCAGTTTGTTCTCTCCCTATGATGCTGAAGTCCCAGACAAGCAATGTTAGGAAGACCACATGATACTCTGTTTCCCAGGCAATGAGAAATAAACTTGTCAGCCAATGATCATCATATGTGTGACTGTAAGCCTCTAAAAATAGACTATCGATTTCTTCTAATGTTTCAAGGCATTTTCTAACACACAGTGTGCTTCTATTTGCCGTCATGCATCTCCAGTGTTTGTACTGAGTACCAAGTATTACGAGATCTTGGTCCAGGCTGTGCTACTATAACAGAAGGCCTGAGACTAGGTAAGGTGGATAAATCAGAAATATGTTTTCTCACAGTTCTAGAAGGTAAGCGATGTAAGATCACATTGCCTCCTCCTGGTGATGGGAGAGAGTTCTTGCTGCAGCCTCAGGGGACAGAAGTCAAGCTAACCAAACACTGCCCCAGTACTTCCTTTGAAGGAACCTTGATGGCATTAAGGAGGAAGAGTCCTCGTGTTAATCACCTCTCGGAGACCTCTTTGAGGCTCTGCTGACCACATCTAAGTTTCAGAGACAGCACATTCAAGGCATGAGGATATTAAAATTGACAATACATTTGAGAATGACTTTATAAGTGGTTCTCAGTTTTACAGAAGATGTTATTTACATAGGGAGAACAGATTTTACCTGATAACCAGTTTTAACAGACCCTCATCACGTGTAGATCAGACCTAAGGTTTAAATGTGTCCGACTCTGTACGGCCTTGAGTGAATGAGTGAGGAAGGCCAGGTGTGGCAAGGAAAGCTCTTCTTCCCCAGGTGACTAAATCCGAGTCTGTTATGTCCATCACAGAGTAAAAGAATAGAAGAGAGTCAGTTAACATTTGATTGACTCCAATACACCCCCAAGTTCTGATGGCCCTCAGTGCCAACAGGCAAAGGACTTCCTTAAAAGAGCGTGGCATTCCCAGAAAACATCAACAACGACAAAGGACATTATTTAAAATAGATCCGCACAGCCAAACACCACTCAGTATGGCATGAGCCACACATAAATCTATGGTCTAAGGAAATAAGTCTTGTACACTGGGTAGTTCAAGGAACATTACACAAAGGAGCCTCCTCGTTGTAAAATTCCCTTTGAATGAGAGAATTTCAACAGAGACGGCTAAACAGTGTCTTGAAGAATGAATGAGTAGCCCGAAAGCAGGCTTAAGGGAAAAGGGGAAAATTTTATCAGGGCCTAGGCACCAAGCAACAGTGTGTAATTGGGAACGCACGTGATTCTGAGAGTTCAGGAAGCTTCCGCCACCACGCCGGAAACGGGAAAGCGTGTGAGTCAGAGGCTACGTCACTCCCTGAACAAGCCCAAAGTATTCTTATTTGCCGTTCTTCAGTCAGTGGAAAATTCTTCAGAAGTTGCTGCCTGGTACTGCCATGTAGTTCCCCTAGCTGTGAAGTTCCTCACTCCGTCACCAACTCAGCTTCAGTATTGAGT